GCCCCGCCAATACTTGGGGGCACTGAGCACATTTGCTATTACTCTCATCTCTCTCTCATAACTTGTATCTCCATTATTCTCCATCGCCTACCTTCACTCCTCGAAGCAATAAAACACCAGACCATCCTAGCCCTTCATAGTGGAGTAGGTCATGTTGACCGAACCACTCTACATCTTAGTCTTGTTTATATTACTTTCTCTCTCTACTTAATTACTACATTAATTACTGAACACTTGACCGGTGGTGCATATACCTGATTTGGGCATCATCATTTTCAATTGTAAAGATGAAATACTAGATAGATGTGAGGTTATGGTGGTGGTGGTGGTGGTGGGGTGTGCTTGGCTAGAGGATTTCCTTTCTCCTTCATTGAGATAAGGTTTCAGAATTGATAACATCACAAAAAAAACTACAACAAAGGTAGGGTATTTTAATTTTAATAGACTTTTGTTTATTCACAAATAGAAGAGGTTTAGTGCAGTGACCTCAAGTAATGGGGTTTTTTTTATAATTAATTAAAGGGCAAACTTCACTTTCCTTCCCTGTGGTATATCTTACATGTACATTGCCTCCCTATGATTTATAAATGTCCACATAACCCTCAGGTGATTTGTGGACTAAAGTGCAAAGTTAACAATTTTGTCTAAATTAATTGAAATTGTGTCTCACGTGATTATTTTGCAACTTGGACTCCACAACTAATTTTTTTATGACAAAAATGCCTTTGTATTGTTTGTAAAATTACAAAATACTTCTATACTATTCATCCTCTTCATCCTTCTAACTATGTATTCCCTCTGTGTCTCTCTGTCTCTCATACACATACACACAAACAAACCCCCCCCCCCCCCCCCCCAAAAAAAAAAAAAAAAGAGAAAAAACGAAGGCAATACCCACGCACAAAGACAATAAAGAAACAAAGAAGTGAAGTAATGAAGGAAAAAAATACGAACCAAAATGCTTGTCCACAGATACAGGAAACGAGGTTGCATCCTCCATCCTTGTCCACAGGTTTTTGACATTTTGGACAGGGCTTTGTGTGGACTGTAACCCAATCAACTGTCACCAATTCATCCTTGCATTTCTTGGTCCAGAACTCCCACATCAGACAAGAACAAGGTGAGTGTGGTTCAGCAGAGCACCTAAAACAAAATTGTAGACCACATGCACATTCAACCTCACAATATTCATCATCCTCAACGCGTATCGCATTTCCACAGTGGGGGACACTAGGACACCATTTTACCCTATTATTATCCTCAATGTATGACTCTAGTAGGAAACGATCAAACTTCTCCATCAGACCAGGATCCCTAGCTCTGACTAGATCTCTGATCTTTCCTTCATCACAAATAGCATTGCAATTGTGGGCCATGCATTGAATGCGACGACCCTGGCCCTCATTTATCTTCACAACAAAATATTCTGCCCAACCTTCACAAGTAGATGCAAAGACCTGCTAAGATTTGTTACCCACAAACTAGAGGGGAGAGCACTTTAAAACTACCTTGGGAAGTGGCAAATGTCAAGCTTCAACACAGAACTAACGACTATATCAGAGGTAACTCATGCCACAATGCAATTATATAATACAAGCCAAAATAACAGGCAGTAACCAACCCGTCACTTAAACACATGGGCACCTAACATGACAAGCATAAGATGATTACACAATAAAACACTCCATGCCAGTGCAATGTCATTTTTTCTTTTTACAGTCTTTGAAGTCTAATTTTCAATATGTCTTATAGTGAATATGAGTTATGGCATAATATATGATCCATATGTAAGTGCACTGACTCCAGGAACTTCACATTTTTTGACTCCAATGTAAATAAAATATATTGATAAACAAGTACTGACACATATTATGTCAACAACACTAGGTATCCGATGCATGATGATTTTTTTTAACCAGTGACAATACTTCTGCAAAAAATTAATTGATCATGTAAGAAGAAACCAACAAAAAAAAAAAACTCACAATCATTGCAAAAGCAATGGCTGCAGTCCATCATGGTTGTATCATTGGCAAGGATTTCCTCAAAGCAGATATCACATTTGACTGCTGAGGACCACTGAGACGAGGAAAGATCAGTATGCTCCCCCATTGTTACACCAGCTTCTTTGTACAAATGATCTCTTCCCTTGTCAATAAACAGTGTAAAGACCTTGTCAATATTCCAACGATAATGAATAAGTAAAGTGCGTGCGTGATGTTCCTTCATAGATAACAAGTCCATTGCTCTTTGCAATTCTTCCCTCTGCAAAAATAGTACAAACATTTCACACCCATCATGCATATTGGGGTATCTAAAAGGTCACCTGTAATATGTGACCAAATAAAAATATTAAGAAAATTTTGGATTTGGTGTTTCACCTGCGCAGCCAAAAGAGACTGTTTCGTAATTACCTGCAAAATGCAAAAGGCAGTCACAAGACATAATCCCCAAAACCAAGAGACAAAAGTCATAGCCAATAAAAATATAACAAAAAAAATGCCAAGTAAGGTTGATCTCTTTGCCCAAAATTATCCAACCAAGAAGCAGAATCAGGCACTAGAAAATCCCATTTTATTGCATGCAATACCCTCACAACTAGTCTATCAAGTAACATCTCAATCTTTGATAAAGATGTAAACTTTTCAAAGGCATGTAAGCACCTCCTTTTTCCTTTTTTTTGAATTTTTTTGAAATTTTGTCTTGGGACAGAATGAAATGAGGTTAATCCAAAATTTTTGGCACTTTAAACACAGATTCAGAAAATTTGTGTTTCTTTTAACCTGATCAATAAACCAGAAATATTCCAATTCAGAAAACAGGGGTAAACCAAAAAAAGAAATTCAAAGAAAATTCTAGAATTTGCACCCTACTGTTTCCACTCTTCCTTTTTTCTCACCAAAAAAAGAAAAACTCAACTCAGTCATACGATGCAAACTCGAAAATTATAGTTCTATTACAACCCAAATCGTAACCTTCAATAAAGCAAAGAACTTTTCCATCAGAATTCAATTACCTTACAAGAAGGGCCTTTGCCGCTGGGCGATTGAAACTCAGTCTCAGGGGACTCTTGGTATCCGTCGAGAGAGTCACCATCACCATAATCATTATAGTAATCTCTATCATTATATTCATCGTCACTATACCCATAATTCTCCATTATAGACAAATTTGAAAACTTCATCAAAGTATGCCGATCATAAGCTTTCGCGGCAACGATTAACAAGTTTTATGGGTGAACTCGTCGTCACAAATCAATCTAGAGAGAGAAAACTTGGAAACGAAGTAAAGAAAGATCGGGAATGAAAAAAAGATAATTAAGTTTCGTAATTAGGGTTCATTATGGACATTTCACACGTAAAATGTACCTCATAGTGGTCAAGTGAAAGACTTGACTTTACATAGCTTCCAACTCCGTATAGCAAAGAAGTCGACTGTTTGCCGTCACCCTTAATACCATTATCTTTTAGGGATATATTTGACGGGACTTTTCTGAAATGCTCTCTGATGAAGATACGTGTTCTTGTTATTACTAAAATATTGTTGTTAAGATCAAGTACCATCGGTGCACAAGGTTCTCGCCCCCGAGGTACTCGTCATATAGGATCATGTCATTCAATACGTTTTACAATCAACACGTAGCCTCGGTCTGATATGGTACCTCGGTCGGTATCCCTCCCTCGGTTCCGAGATGAGCCTTTCCTCGGTGCCGAGGTGTACCCCGTCCTGGACGCCTCCTCTACTCCAGGATAAGCTATTGACGTACAGGTCATTAGCCTAGGCTATTCATCATGACCTCGTCTTACACAATTAGTGTCAGAACGTACTGGAATGCAGTGGCCACAGCCAATGGGGGATGGACGCGTGGCATATAATATCACATCGAAGACAGAGAAACCGCATGCCGTTGCTGACACGCGACTTGGGAAAGTAAACGATTAATTACACCATTCCCTTGATGAGACCGCATTCAATGCGGTAAGACTCGAAAATGAAAGGCAATCAATGCTCCTAATACAGAGCATTTATTGCATCCTCCCCGAGAGGAGTACATTGTATCGTCGGCATCCCGATGACCCAGCATTGATTGCTCGGGACCCCTAGCAGTTAAGAAGAGAAGACATTCCTCATCAGAATCAGTGCACACACTGCCTGTACCTAATGATCACCTACTGACTACACTGACAGCAATCATGAATTTTTGAGGTATAAATACTTCTTGCAAAAGGCAAGACGGGTATGCAACAAAAAACTCTTTACTACAATACACACTCAGTGTTTTCTCCTTCCTCTCTCTTTCTCAAAGACTGACTAGATCGTAGGAGGGGATACGCCGAAAAACACTCCGGCGCCCTTCTAACTTGTTTTTCTTTATTCCAGGAACCTCTTTCAGCCTTACTGGATCGTTCTTCCGCTCCCCCAGGGTCTCCCGTTGCCGTTCCAGGTCACCATCGGACCTAGCAGGCTGTTCCAAGTAGCGTGGTTGATCACTCAACTGGCTCACTCGAGTTCACCAAGGGAGAGATCTGTTCTCGTTTTTTATATTGTGCAGGATCTTGCACGCACAATCTGGCGCCGTCTGTGGGAAACGACTAGTTTTCCTAGTTTTTTCTCTATAAAGAACAGTGACCATGGTGAACACTCGACAGAAAGGGAAAGGCCCCCACCAAAGGAGTCTCGAGTTACAAGCTCCCTGTCATCACGGAGGAAGGGATCACACCGATATGAATAAAAGTGCCTCTACTCGGTCAAGAGGGGTTACCCCTCAAACCAGTATGGGAATCAGGTCAGGGGGATCAGCCCCCTTGGCTCGTCAGCTGGCGGAGGTGATTGAAGAAAAGTTCGGCAATAGATTACGACAGCTGGAAAAGGACAATGTAAACGTCCTAAGCCGGCTCAACGAGTTTGCCGCCTCTGGCGAAGGATCGAGGGATTCATTCCTTTCTCGTGGGCTTCCCGCCCGGAAGGCAAAAACGAAGGATCTAAGAAACCACCTAAACAACAAAGCAGAAAGCTCTAGGGCCCCAAAGCGACCCAGAGCCGGCGAGCATCATCATGACAACCATTCAAGGAAAGCAAGGCCATTGGCCCTGGACGACCTCTGGCGAGGTTTGTCTAGACGGAGGAAGGGAGATGAATCCGAGGAGGACTCAACCCAATCCACACGACGCCCAGGAAATGAAGGGCTTACCGATGAACTCAAGGACTTCAGAAGGCATCCCGTCAGGGAAGAAATTGATCTTAGAGCCCGGTTAGACTCCAGGAGAAAGGGTAAGGCTGTCCAGGATGAGGCCGAGGACGAAGTCATACAAACACCCTTTACGAGGGAGATCGGTGAGATGGAGGTTTCAAGAAAGCTTGTCGTGCCGCGGTTCAAAACTTTTGACGGACGGTCCGATCCCGAAACCCATGTCAGGCAATACAAGCAGATGATGCCCCTCTATCATTCGGACCAACGGTTTCTTTACAGAGTATTTCCTATGAGCTTAGGGGACTCTGCGATGAAGTGGTTCGAGGCGCTTCCCCCAAACAGTATTGGGTCCTAGAAGGAATTGACTAAGCAATTCCTGGCTCGATTCATTACGGGGAGTAAGCGCCCCAAAGACATTGGATCATTGCTGACCCTCAGACGGAGGGAATCCGAGACTCTTCGCCAGTACGCCATCCGATATTGGGAAGAGGTTAATGAGGCAGAAGGCTGCTCGGAGGTCATGGCAGCAGCATCATTCCGGCTCGGCTTGGCAAGGGACACGGACCTGTACTGATCCCTGACCAAGAAGACCCCCTCAGATATGGGGGAACTAATGGCNCATCAAACCAGTATGGGAATCAGGTCAGGGGGATCAGCCCCCTTGACTCGTCAACTGGCGGAGGTGATTGAAGAAAAGTTTGGCAATAGATTACGACAGCTGAAAAAGGACAATGTAAACGTCCTAAGCCGGCTCAAAGAGTTTGCCGCCTCTGGCGAAGGATCGAGGGATTCATTCCTTTCTCGTGGGCTTCCCGCCCGGAAGGCAAAAACGAAGGACCTAAGAAACCACCTAAACAACAAAGCAAAAAGCTCTAGGGCCCCAAAGCGACCCAGAGCCGGCGAGCATCATCATGACAACCATTCAAGGAAAGCAAGGCCATTGGCCCTGGACGACCTCTGGCGAGGTTTGTCTAGACGGAGGAAGGGAGATGAATCCGAGGAGGACTCAACCCAATCCACACGACGCCCAGGAAATGAAGGGCTTACCGATGAACTCAAGGACTTCAGAAGGCATCCCGTCAGGGAAGAAATTGATCTTAGAGCCCGGTTAGACTCCAGGAGAAAGGGTAAGGCTGTCCAGGATGAGGCCGAGGACGAAGTCATACAAACACCCTTTACGAGGGAGATCGGTGAGATGGAGGTTTCAAGAAAGCTTGTCGTGCCGCGGTTCAAAACTTTTGACGGACGGTCCGATCCCGAAACCCATGTCAGGCAATACAAGCAGATGATGCCCCTCTATCATTCGGACCAACGGTTTCTTTACAGAGTATTTCCTATGAGCTTAGGGGACTCTGCGATGAAGTGGTTCGAGGCGCTTCCCCCAAACAGTATTGGGTCCTAGAAGGAATTGACTAAGCAATTCCTGGCTCGATTCATTACGGGGAGTAAGCGCCCCAAAGACATTGGATCATTGCTGACCCTCAGACGGAGGGAATCCGAGACTCTTCGCCAGTACGCCATCCGATATTGGGAAGAGGTTAATGAGGCAGAAGGCTGCTCGGAGGTCATGGCAGCAGCATCATTCCGGCTCGGCTTGGCAAGGGACACGGACCTGTACTGATCNAAAACAGTGACCATGGTGAACACTCGATAAAAAGGGAAAGGACCCCACCAAAGGAGTCTCGAGTTACAAACTCTCTGTCATCACGGAGGAAGGGATCACACCGATATGAATAAAAGTGTCTCTACTCGGTCAAGAGGGGTTACCCATCAAACCAGTATGGGAATCAGGTCAGGGGGATCAGCCCCCTTGGCTCGTCAGCTGGCGGAGGTGATTGAAGAAAAGTTTGGCGATAGATTACGACAGCTGGAAAAGGACAATGTAAACGTCCTAAGCCGGCTCAACGAGTTTGCCGCCTCTGGCGAAGGATCGAGGGATTCATTCCTTTCTCGTGGGCTTCCCGTCCGGGAGGAGGAAGCGAAGGATCTAAGAAACCACCTAAATAACAAAGCAGAAAGCTCTAGGGCCCCAAAGCGACCCAGAGCCAGCGAGCATCATCATGACAACCATTCAAGGAAAGCAAGGCCATTGGCCCTGGACGACCTCTGGCGAGGTTTGTCTAGACGGAGGAAGGGAGATGAATCCGAGGAGGACTCAACCCAATCCACACGACGCCCAGGAAATGAGGGGCTTACCGATGAACTCAAGGACTTCAGAAGGCATCCCGTCAGGGAAGAAATTGATCTCAGAGCCCGGTTAGACTCCAGGAGAAAGGGTAAGGCTGTCCAGGATGAGGCCGAGGACGAAGTCATACAAACACCCTTTACGAGGGAGATCGGTGAGATGGAGGTTTCAAGAAAGTTTGTCGTGCCGCGGTTCAAAACTTATGACGGGCGATCCGATCCCGAAGCCCATGTCAGGCAATACAAGCAGATGATGTCCCTCTATCATTCGGACCAACGGTTTCTCTGCCGAGTGTTTCCTATGAGCTTGGGGGACTCTGCGATGAAGTGGTTCGAGGCGCTTCCCCCCAACAGTATTGGGTCATGGAAGGAATTGACGAAGCAGTTCCTGGCTCGATTCATTACGGGGAGTAAGCGCCCCAAAGACATTGGATCATTGCTGACCCTCAGAAGGAGGGAATCCGAGACTCTTCGCCAGTACGCCATCCGATACTGGGAAGAGGTTAATGAGGTAGAAGGCTGCTCGGAGGTCATGGCAGCAGCATCTTTCCGGCTCGGCTTGGCAAGGGACACGGACCTGTACCGATCCCTGACCAAGAAGACTCCCTCGGATATGGGGGAACTAATGGCCCGGATAAACAAATACTCGAGGATTGAGGACGAGATGGGAAGCAGCAAAGGCCGAGCCCTCCAATCTAAGAGAAAAGAGAAGGAGCGGGAAGATATTCCCCGAAAGGGATTGCTACCCCCTCCAGGGGGTTCGTCCAAAGGAGTTCACACTGTGTTCAAGGAACCCATCTTCAAGTTGCTCCATAAAATCAAGCACGAGCCGTTCTTCAAATGGCCGCCCAGGATGCAGAGCGACCCCTCCACCCGTGATCAAAAGGTTAGGTGTTCCTATCACCGGGATTTCGGGCATCGCACCGAAAGCTGCAGGGTGTTCAAATCGTTCTTGGAAAGATTGGTCCGAGACGGATATTTGAAAGAGTACATAGAGCCCAGGCCAGAAGAGAGACAAGCCCTTGCCCCGACCGAGGAGCCGGACAACATCATA